GCTCCTCAGATGACATCAGAATGATTGAGAAATTGGAAACGAGCTGGCCACGTAACAGCGCTGGGGCAGCCAGTCCTTGAGCCTGGGTTGGCGTGACCCGAGGGCAATCCACTGGAATACCACCTTGTCTCGTACCCTGACACTGGGCTGCCAGACAGCAGCCTGACGATCACTCTGACCTACTTCAACCACCTATGACTTTAAGCTCCTTGACTATAGGGCAAAATGAACGAGGAGGTGACTGGAACAAATCCAATCAGTGACCGAAGCGCTGGCCCGGCCTGCTAATGGCTAACTGAAGGCATTTCCAAACAACACCCGGAGGAACGTGCCAGGGCCTCGGGTTTTCTTCCCGTTCTTGGAAATCCCGTCCCCCACGCCCGTGGCCTTTCGGTTTCCAAACCCCCAGGTCTGCCGCGGGGCTCGGTGGCCGGACCCCTGGCCGCGCCCCGAGCGGCCAGGAGCGGGTTAAGGGCGCCAAGATGGCCGGCTTGTTTTGCTCGCCCAGGCATCACGCGGTGGCTGCCCTTTGCCTCCGGGGCCGCGGTCAAGGTTCCTCCGCCCTCGCTGGCACCCGGCCCGACCGAGCCTCCTCCCCTGCGCCCCGGAGCCTCGCGAACCTTCCAGACCCGGGCATGGCGGGGCGGCAGCGCGGCCCACTCGGAGCTTCGGGGCCGCTGCTGGCCCTTCGGCTTCTCGGAGCGTCTGCGGCCCCGGCTGCTGACAAGGCTGCGTCCGTCGGTCCGTCCGTCCGTCCCTCCGTCCCTCCCGCCGTTCTTCTTCCCCAGCAGGCCTCTCCCAGGGCCTTTCCCGCCGCGCAACCGGCCGAGCCCGTGCGATGGGCGGAGCAACACTGCCCTCCAGTGGCCAGTATGCCGAACAGCACACGCGGGACCCTCCGCATTGCCTTTGACCACCAGTGTTTGATTGAGTACTGGGCTCGAACCGCTAGGGAAGTGCTTTCTGGATGGTTCTCAAAATCGAGTGTGGCACCTTTAATCCCAGCACTCGGGAGGCAGAGGCAGGCGGATCTCTGTGAGTTCGAGGTCAGCCTGGTCTACAAGAGCTAGTTCCAGGACAGGCACAATAAACTACAGAGAAACCCTGTCTCGAAAATAAAAAAAAAAAGAGTATGCGACACACTTCTCTAGGCAGTGCATCCAAACCCAGCTGTCGGCCTGACCCCAACGCAAGAGTTTGTAAGTTTATGGAGTTCCAGGGTGAATATGGCAGCTGCTGGTCGCGGATTCCAAACCACCAGCTCTGTTCCCTTACCCAGGCTGGGATTCTACTGCCCATTCCTGTATACAACATGCCCTGCAGACAGAGTACACAGGATAAACTGTGATTCTAACCAAGTTCCCACCCACATGGCATTTAGCAGAGGGTATAGACTTGTTTAAACAATCCTGTCAATCTAAGATTGCACTTGGAAACTTTAAATTTTAATGCGTGTGTATTTCTGCGTACCATATGTGTCCAGTGCACTCTGAGGCCAAGAGGACTTCGGATTCCCTGGAATTGGTGGTGGTACAGATGGTTTTAAGTTACCATGTGGGTGCTGGGAAGTGAACCTCGATCCTCTGGAAGAATAGCCAGTGCTCTTATTTCTGAGCCATCTCTCCAGCCCCTTGAAAAAATTTTAATAGTTTATAAAAATATATATTGATAAAGTGTTGCTATGTGTGACTTTAACACACAGAGTGCTTGTATTAATCAGAACGGTTTTCAGGACTGGGTACCTTCCTCCTAACATGCTGATTCTGGGGACCAAACTCGGTTCAATCAAGCTTGTGAATCACATTCGCCAGCTGAACCATCCCCAGTTTGAGACAGTTTCCAAATTCTTCCGAAGGGAAATATGAAGGCCCTCAAAGAAGACATATAAGTAGGGACCTGCAGATAGTTCCCAATTTAAAATGACGATCCCACCTTTGAGGTGGTACAAAATAGAAGCATTCAGTAGAAACCGCAGCTGAATTTTTAGTTCCGGGTTCACACACACACACACACACACACACAGACACACACACACACTAGCAATAAACACAATGCTCTCGCAAGACCTTCCTACAATCAGGAGTGAAATCAACCTGTGGTCTGTAGTGTGCTGTGTTGCTAAGCAACGAGGCTCAAGGAAGCAAGTGAACTTTTTACACTCCCTGGAGCTCTCAGTGTGTCGGGAATGGACTGGGGGTGAGGAAGCTGTCACAACAGGGCTTTCTGCGGAAACCCTGAAGTGGAGTCCAGAAGGAGGGAATACGAAGGCCCTGGGGAGAACCTAAGACAGTACTGGGAGTGGCAAGCAGAGCAAAGAGAAGACAAGAGCATCACCGCCCATGCAAAGGCTGAGGATGGGCAAGGTCCAGACATCTGGTACCCAGGGACCTCCCCCTTCAGAAGGGGTCCTGGCTTCTGAGATCCTAGCCATGCCCAGGATGATAGGTTGTCTTTAGGAACCCCAGCCAAGTGCTCACAGACCATGAACTTCTCACTGACTGAATCAGACTGGCTTAGGCCCCTCCTTGAAGCCTGAAGGAGAATCACATTTAGTAGAACAAGTTGTGTTGGGCAGTGGTAAGAGAGCCAACCTTGCACTCCATGCTTTGTGGCCGCCTCTCCAGTGAAGGTTTGTTAAGCACCTGTTGTATGCTTGGTACTCATGTCACAGTGTGTGAGGAGGGCCACAAAGGATGAGCCTACCCTGTCCTTGTTCCAAGCACTTTAGAGGGCAGATGATGTGGGAGTGATTTCTTATTAATAAAAAAACTGCCTAAGCCCCTTGATAGGCCAACCCTTAGGTGGGTGGAGAAAACAAAACAGGATTGTGGGAGAAAGAAGCTGAGTAGAGGGAGTCGCCATGATTCTCCCACTCCAGACAGACGCAGGTTAAGATCCTCCCTGGTAAGCCAGCTCGTGGGCTACACAGAATATTAGAAATGGGTTAGAACAATATGTAAGAGCTAGCCAATAAGAAGCTGGAACTAAGCTAAATAAGAAGGAGAACCCAAAGAAAAACATATAGGCATCCTCCTGAATATTAAACTTCATCAGGCGATGAAAGGAGACAGACAGAGACCCACATTAGAGCACCGGACTGAAATCTCAAGGTCCAAATCAGGAGCAGAAGGAGAGAGAGCACAAGCAAGGAACTCAGGACCGCGAGGGGTGCACCCATACACTGAGACAATGGGGATGTTCTATCAGGAACTCACCAAGGCCAGCTGGCCTGGGTCTGAAAAAGCCTGGGTCAAAACCGGTCTCGCTGAACATAGCAGACAAGGAGGACTACTGAGACCTCAAGAACAATGGCAACGGGTTTTTGATTCTACTGGACCGATTGGTTTCGTGGGAGCCTAGGCAGTTTCGTGGATGCTCACCTTACTAGACCTGGATGGAGGTGGGTGGTCCTTGGACTTCCCACAGGGCAGAGAACCCTGATTGCTTTTTGGGCTGACAAGGAAGGGGGACTTGATTGGGGGAGGGGGAGGGAAAGGGGAGGCGGCGGTGGGGAAGAGACAGAAATCTTTAATAAATAAATAAATAAATTTAAAAAAGAAAAAAAAAGAATAGCACTTCTTTGGAAGACTGAGTCAAGCGGATCACTTGAGCCCCTGAGTTTGAGGCAAGCCTGAGCTACATAGCAAGACCCTGTCTCGAAGAAAAAGGTGGACTGGCACCTCTCGTGGGTTTTTTAAGTCTACTAAAATCATAATTATAAATTAAACACGTGATTGATGTCATCATTTCCCTACCATCAAGAAAGCCTCTTGCGGTGTGTGCCCTCACCTGAGGCAGCAAAGTATATCTATCAAATGACAGTCTAATAGTTTCTAACACTGACTCGTCGCTATTGCCGTGAAAGAATCACTTTTGCTTGACTACAAGTTGGTAGCATTCTAATTTTGTTTTCCTTTTTAGTGCTTTGGGGAGAGCTAATTGCCGCTCACAGAAGCAATTATTAGGGTCTGAATAGAAAATGTTTAAATTAAGAAATACCATGTTCATATTCAAGAATCATTGTAATTGGTCTATTAAACAGCAGCTTTGCAGCGGGGAAAAAAAAAAGAAAAGAAAAGAAAGAAAAGAAGCTGGAACTAGCCGGGCCAGGCAGTGTTTGAAAGAATACAGTTTCCGTGTAATTATTTCGGGCATGAGCTAGCCAAGTGGCCGGGATGTTGGGGATGCAGCCCCGCCGCTCCTATTTCAACAGGCAGATAGGTGGGCACCCTTCCTAAGTCTCACTTCCCACCCCTCCTGTTTCTTCGCCTCCCTGATGACCCTGGGGTTGGCCAGGTTGGCACATGACAACCATGGATACTGTTGTAAGGATGCTTGTTGCTGGGTACCCACACCAACCTGGCAAAGAGGATGGGGTAAGCACCAACCACTGCCTCTTTGTTGTTCAAGCTTTGACAAACAGGCTCTTCCCATTGGTCCTGTTACCCGGCACAGTCTCTTTCTTCATCAGCTCAGCCCACCAGCACACTGTTGTGGAGAGAGGAGAGTTCCTGTCTAGGGACGCTTCCACTCCAGTGCTGTGCAAAGTAAGGTCTTTCGGGGGGGGTCAGTGGACTCCAGGCCAACTGAGATGGGGAGAACACATTTTAAAAAAAAAATCCCTTTCTAATTCAAACGAGTTCAACTCAGCTCCTGATTCTGTGCTATATCCAGCAAGTAGCTTAAATCTCTCTGAGCCTCAGTTGCCCCATCTGGGAAGTGGGGGAGCGCAGCACTCTGTCTCGTCGGAAGATTCTGAAGATTAGTACAAATAGCCATCACTTCTCTGGTGCTGACACCACGCCAGGCACTCGGGCTTCTCATGAGGTCATGTGTGGAAGTCCTGGCCTCTGTCCAGCCAGCAGTCAAGCCCATCATGGGAGCCACGGGTGCAGTTTCACAAGAGCACTGGTGCTGGGCACACGTGGTTAACCTTTAATAGGTGGAAGGAGTTTAGCAAGCCCTAGGCACACAGTAAGCGCTCAATAAATGGCCTTCATTATAAGCCAGAGAATGGGGACCTGTGTGCGGAAGTCCCGTGACAAAGAATGTAGAGAGGTGGGCGGCCCAAGGTGATGCTTCACCCATTTCTTCTCCCCAGGAGGGCCCATGTGTGTTAGCAGGCTCCCCAGGCTGGGACGTCAGCTCTGACTCATTCTCCCCGGGGAGAAGTTTAATTAGCCTCCCAGCAGCCAGAAGCACCCCAGATGAAAGGTGCTGAATGTGAGTATAAGGCGTGACCCCCATATTTATAACCAAGGCTCCCTAAGGTGAGGAAACCCGGGGGCGGAGAGGCAGGCCAGATCAGGGCCTTACCTTGTTTATGACAGAGGTTCTCAGGAAAGGGAGCTGGCTGCGGTGGCTGTGAGTCTGAGAAGTCTCCAGGGGCTGGGGGTGGGGCAGCAGAGGGCCTGAGGGTGGAAGGGGTTGGGGGGCAGAAAGGGATCAGGAGGCTGAGTCATGTTCCAGGTGTTGCCTCTTGTATAGGAGCTCCAAGACCAGGAGGCAGACTTGGGTAGGGTGGGCCAGAGTGGGTAAGGGCTCTGGTTTGGGGCTGCCAGGTTTAAATCCCAGCTCTACCATGGCATTCTGTGTCCTGGAGCCTGGACTCCCTCACTGACTGACAGTGCTCCATGGGGAGGCTCTGGCACCCACTATGCCCGTGAGGAACATCTGTGCGTTCCTAACCCAGTGCCTGTCCTATGCCGTGCTGGGAATCCAGCACAACAGACCTGAGAGTCTACTTGGCTGCACGGCAGACTCCAGGCACAAGAACGAGATAAAGAACCAATTGCCCAGCTGTCTCTGCTCACCATGCTAGGGACAACGGTCACGTGTCACGTGTCAGATGCAGAGGTCACAGCACTTGGCTTCTCCACATGATGCCCTGAACAAAAAAAAAAAAAAAAAAAAAAAAAAACAGCCGCTGAGGCAGGTAGAGCTGATGTGGGCAGATTCAGAGCCAGGGTTGTGGGGCCAGGTCTTCAGCACAGGAATCCTGATCCACATCTGGCAAAACAGATGCCGCCGTCCCCCCTCTGCCTCTGGCTAAGGGCTGCACCTGTAGTAAGAACCGTCCTTGTCACCTAGGTCCTGCTGGGACTCCTGCAGCCTGGCCCAGTGAGGCCAAGAGTGGCTTAACTACCATGTCCCTGCCTAGGGTCTGGGAATTCATTCATTCATTCCTTCCTTGTCAGTCACTCTACTGGGCAACAAGGATGTAAAGACTGGCCATAACAACACATGCGTGGTCCCTGTGCTCTGGAGGACTTCACACAGAGCGAAGCATAGGACATGATTCGGGGAGAGCACTTGCACAGCATGTAAGAAAGCTGGGTTGGACCCTCGGGACTATAAAAAAGAAATAGCTAAGCATTAAAGTGTCAGGAGGACCAGAGCAGCACTGGCCAAAAGTCAGCAGCAAGGCCATGGGAAGTACCCAACCTGTGGGCAGCAGTAGCTAGAGCGTAGGGACAGGATACTCAGATGCATCCCACAACCCCACCCCACCCTCCATGTATCTCAGCCTACCAAAGTAGGCTTCCTGGTAGGCAGGTCAGTAACAAGAGCCTGGCACCAAGTCCTGCACCCGAATATGGGAGGCGGGCAGCACCGTCCAACCAAGCAATCAGAGAAGGGAAGAAGGTCCCCCCCTCTGCATCACCAGAGCCCCCATGGCATCAATCCAGGAGACAGTATGGGGTACTGGGTTCAGATGAATGGCAGGGGACATTCCTCAGGACAAAACACCGCCACCACCATTGTGCCATCCCCTTGCGCGTTCCTAGGTTCCAGGCATGTATTTCTTAAACCACTAAGATTTTGCCGGAGACTTTCCCAGGGCCACGGGGCTAGTGTGCGGAGGATTTGCACTGCGGTCTGACTCGCCCCAGAGTTTACACACACAGTTCAGCATATCCCCCAATCAAGCCAGCGTTTGTTTTCCTAGAGAAGCCCACAATGGTCCCCTGTGTACTGTGCAGGCTCCTAGCCAGGCTGCCCGCCAAGGAGTGAGGGACAAAATCATCTAACGGAGAGTCCCCACCCCAGCCATGCTCCAGCCTCTCCCCCTCCCCTGCCTGGTCTCAGCCAGCCCGTCCATAGACAGGAAATCCTCCCTGCCTCCAGGAAACTTAGGAGCTGAAGGGAGCTGTCTCCACCAGGTCCAAGTGGGTAGACAGGGCCTGGGGAGAAGGAAGGGAACTGGATGACACTTCTGGGTCCTGGTGGTCTCTGGGCCTCAACCAGGAGCGAAATGATCCCTTCAAGACTGTTCACACTTCACCCCTCCGGCAGCTGGCCTGAGGAGCTGCCTCGGCAGAGAGCCAAGGGAGCAAGCTAAGTCTTGCTCCAGGTACCTTGACTGACCTGAGGAAGCCCCAGGTGCCCTTTAAGGAATCAGGCAGAGGGAAGGGGTTGCGTGGGAAGGTGGATGATTACCATCTTCCATTTCAGGGGTGGGGTGCGGCCACCTACCTGGGGAGTATAGCCTTGTTGTCTGTCAGTGATGAGCCCCTACCTGTCTTGGGCTCACCGAGGGTCAGACGGGGTAACAGCTAGGCCAAATAAAGCCAGGACGTGGTCTCTGAGAGCCCACTGACCTGAGCTCCGGCTTCCAGCTGAAACACTTCGCCTGCATCAGCTCTGAAGCCAGTCTTGAAATTCACTCTGAGATGGGGAAACTGAGGGCCAGAGAGATTGGAGAGATGTGCCCACGGCCGTGTGGTCAGTCGGATGCCTTTGGTGCCTGGTGCCAAAAGTCTTGTCTTTGATGCTCACTTAGTGCTTTTTTGTTGTTATTGTTGAGTGTGCCCAGCCTCAGAATCAGCAAGGGAGACACTGTATGAAGGAGGGAGTGGAGGCATGGACTTTCCCCCAGTATCCAAGCTGAGGAGTGTGAGCGGCTGAGCCGATCAGTGAGTGGATGGACGGACCAGTCACTGGATCAGTGGGTCACTGAGTGGATAAGCTGCTTCAGTGAGTGGGTGAGTGGACCAGCCCCTGGGTGAGTGAGTGCATCAGCGAACGCATGGGTGCATCCGGGAGAGGGCAAGTGAGTAACAGGCAAATGGACAGAGTATGGACCGTGATTGAGTAAGTGACAAGTCAGAGCAGAATGGAGCCGGGGACAAGTGGCAGGTGGCTAAATGGCCCAGCTAGAGACAGAAACAATGGCTACGGTGTCCAAGGGCCTTCTGGAGAGATGCAGGAAGGAATGTGGCTTCTGAGAAACAGGGTGGCTCTTTGGGATCTCCTTCCCTAGACAGAAGCCTTGATCTCCCTCCCTAGATAGAAGCCTAAGAAGCCTTCGGAAAACCAGACTGGGGAGGCCCCAGGACCCTGGCCACTCAGTGACCACCTGGGCCAATCATTGATGGGTCTTTGAGAGATACATTGCTTAAGGGGACCCTGGGATTGACCTCCTGACCACCAGGCTGGGAGGAAAAGAGGAAGGAGAGAGCTACTGGCTCCGCTGGAGGCAGAGGTGGGGACAGGATTGTCAAGATGTTCCAATTCTGACCTTGGAAAGCAGTGAGGCCTCGTCTGTGTCCTGGGGTGGGGTGGGCAGTTACTGCCCCAGCCATGTTTACCTAAGAGAGTCATAAGGTGGCATGGAAGAGGCTCGCCGAGGGGTCATTGTTATGAACAATCTTAGCCTTCTGGGTTAAGATCCTACCTGGGATCTAGACTAGGGGGATGAGGTAGACTGGATTGGCCCCAGGTGTGGCGCTATCCTGGCAAATGTGGGTAAGGTGGAGGCTGTTGGTTAAATGTAGTTCTATGTATCAGAAACCTGGAGGGAGAGACGATTAGGGGACTATGGGTTAACCCCAACAACTTCAGCGAGGACACAGAGAAACCCCTCCTTTCCCGGGACTAGATCTAGGCAGCTCTCTGAAGGAAACCAAGGCAGGCAAGGGGCAGGTACTAGCTGGTGGGTCTCTGAAGAACACGTTCCTAATTCCTTTCCACCCTGAGACAAAGAACAGCAAGAGAATCCTAGAGGTAAGTGAAATTGCCTTCCGCCGACCCTTCTAGACGCTTCAGCTAGGCTACACGTTAAAGTAACAGAAGACAGAGTAACAGGAGAGCAATCATATTCAATCTAATGTTTGCACAGAGTCACCCAAAACATGAGACTTTTCCATGACTTTTCCATGGCAACCTGAGCTCAAGAAGGGAGTCAGGATACGGGGCATCTGGGAGACGGGTCACATCCAACAAGAGGCAGAAGCAGACCCTCAGTGTGAGTAGCACTTGTCTTGCTAAAAAGAAAAGATCCCTCTTGCCATACAGGTCCCGGGCAACCCCTTCTGGGGTAACTACCGATGTCTTTCCTTTGTGGTCATCAGTTTCTTCCAGGGAAGAGCAAGCCTTCAGAGCCACTCCTGTGCCTACAGTCTCTCAGAACAGTAGCTCAAAATATGCCAGAGAAATATCTTCGGGAATGGTTTATTCTGGCCTCCTACCCTCCTGCTGTAAGTGAAGCGTCATGACCACGGCGTCCTCTGCCAGGCGTGGTCTGGCACTGTCCCTCCCAGCTGTGAGTTGTTGGGACATTCCCTATCTTCCAGTGAGGTGACGAAGGATCTGAAGGGGAATAGAAGTGTGCAGAGCACAGAAGTCTGCTTGACGGGCCATGCACTCCCTTGTGCCCTGGGGATCTGCTTGAGCTGCCCATCCTGGAGAAAACCTCTAGAGGGACAGAGGGACAGACACACATTGCAATCCATCACTTTCCTGGGCTGGGTCCGAGGAAGCCAACCAATGGCAAACACTCTGACCACCCCACCCTGGGGCAGAGGCTCATTAGCTTCTGTTCTTGAACAAAGACTTTCTGGTATCTAGCCTTCTTTCTGGAATATGCCACAGAGGACGGTTTAAGCTTGAGGCAAGGCAGTGCTGCAGAGACGTCTGTAGGGCAGGATGCCTTAGGGCGTAGCAGGGCCCCGGGGAGGTGGCGTGCACCCTCTAGTGGCCACTTTCCACACAGGCGGAAGAGAACTCCTGTACCCACCTGAGTGAGGCGAGTCAGGCAAAGAACACTCTATTGAACAGTAAAAAGAGCAGGGCACCCGGCACCACGGGAGTGTTAGAACAGCCAAGGCACAGGACCGCCGAAAGCATCTCTAGCCATGAAGCTCCCCAGCAGGGGAAGATGAAGAAGCCTCACCAACAAGGTAAGCAAAGCCAGGCAGTCCTAATGGGAAAGAGACTCAGCCCTGCTCACAGAACAAGCCCACGGTTCTCAGGAGTCTCAACGCTAGTTGTGGGTTTTGGTGAGACCGCGGCTCCTCAGGCATAATGGGTCAGCAGCGCGGAAATCTCTTTTGTCAGTCCCCGTATCTTGAAGGGCCATGGCTAGACACAATCTTGAAAGGGAACCTATTATTTAAAATTGGGCTACGCTAGTTGCTAGGAGCTGATCACATCACCTGGGAGTAACCGTGGAGTCTGTCAGTCCCAAGCCCTTGATCAGAGGCGGCTCAAACTCCAGAGCATGCGTCTGCAGCCACGTTCACTGCCGCAGCGATGAAGAACTCAGAGTCCGGCAGACTCCTCAGCATCCTCAGCCCCATCCTTCTCGCGGGTTGTTTATTATCAGTCTTCGAAGTTAGGGGCGCAGGTCTGCCTGTACCCTACTCAGAGCTGTGTCTACTCCTGCTTTTGCAGAGCGCTCCGGTGGCAGCCCCTGATGGGCACCGTGGCCAGTCCTGGAGGTGCAAACTAGACCGTCCCGGGAGAGTGGGAGAGCCTGCCCAACTCACAGTCTGCGAAGCTCCGTGTGGCCTACAAAGACTCCTGGTTCACAACCAAGGCAAAATACTGAAGTGACTACGACTCTAGAGGACACCCAGCGTTTGTCAGACGCCTGCACGTGGGCATAAATCACAGGCAGACAGGAGTCTTCAAGGACAGCTGGACCCGGCCACTGGCAGCCCCCAATTATAGAGACTCCAGAACGAAGCCGCTCAGTTACTTCCTTTGAATTGCTTCCATTCTCCATGGTTTGTCTTATCTTTCTTCTTTTTACTATACTTCCAGCAGTATTTTGACTTTTATTCTTTTTAAATTTTTTCTTTTATATTTAGTATGTGTGTGTATGCACACATGTCATGGCAGAGGTCACAGGGCAACTCATGGGAGTTGTTTCTTTAAACCATGTGTGTTCTAGGGATCAGATTCAGGCTGTGAAGTTTAATGAGCACCTTTGCCTACAGAGCCATCTCACCAGCTGATTTTATCTTATTTTTAAGCTTTTATTTTTTTATTGTCCTTCTTATATTTATCTAGTCTTGTTGATATACTTTATCAGTGAGTAGTTCTTATTTTATTGTTAAATTGTATGTATTTGTTTAATGAATATGAATATTTTGCCCGTATATTGCATCTGTGTGCATGCGTGTCTGGTACCTACAGAGGTCAGAAGAGGGCATCAGACCCCTGGGACTGGAGTTAGAGGGTTGTGAGCTGTAAATGGGGGCTGCTTGTTCATTTCCTGACTTCTCAGACCTGAATAGTCACACAAAAACTACATTAATTACAACACTGTTTGGTCAATAGCTTGGGTGTCTTTCTAGCTAGCTCTTACATCTCAAATTAACCCATTCCTATTAGTCTGTGTATTGCCACTAGGCTGTGGCTTACCAATGCCAGCATATTATTCCTTTGGCAGCTACATGGCATTTCTCTGACTCTGCCTACTCTCTCTCTCTCTCTCTCTCTATGTGTATATATATATATATATATATATATATATTTCTTCCAGCCTGGCTATATTCTGCCCTGCTATAGGCCAAAGGAACTTCTTTAATAATCAATGGTAATAAAACATCCTAAGATACAGAGGGGAACCCCACGGCAGTGAGCCACCATGTGGGATCTAGGAATCAAACCCTGGTCCTCAGCAAGAGCAGGCGGTGCTCTTTACTACCGAGCCATCGCTCCAGCCCCCTTGGAAGGTCTTTTTTTTAATCTCTTGCTTTTTTCCTCTCTCTCTTTATAACATTCTCCTCCACTCTTCCTCTTGCTTGCTTTTATCAAACCCTGTCTCTACCCCTGTCCTTTGTTACATTCATTGGCTGTTCCTCGTTAGCTTGATAGTAGTACACTCTCCTTTATTTTGGCAGTCCGCGTGGTCACGGGTTGTATATTATCAGACTGTAATGGCTTTTAAATGTATTTCTTTATCTTGGTTTGCTGTCGTTGTTATAGCAGTTTAATCATCTCTGGGGGGTCCTGACCGAGGCTTCATGAATAGAGAGCTCTATAAGGACATCCCTGAACACAACCGGGAGGAACACCCAAACCAACAGATGAACAAATCGCAGCACAGAAAGCCAGGAGGTGGTGGCGCACGCCTTTAACCCCAGCACTCAGGAGGCAGAGGCAGGGGGGATCTCTGAGTTTGAGGGCAGCCTGGTCTATAGAATGAGTTCAAGGACAATCAGAGCTACACAGAGAAACCTTGCCTTGAAAAACCAAAGTAAACAAACAAATAAAACCACAACACAGAAACACAATAAACATGATGAAGTAGAGCGACATGGCTTCTGCTCTAAAAGGCTGTAACTCCTCAATTGCTGAACACAAAGATACTAAAATGAGTAACCTTCTTGGTAGAGACTTACAATATCTAAAAAGTGATTAGTGATTCAAAGAGGACAACACAACCAAGCAAACAAATGAAGTAAGGAGATCTATTGTATCTGTGTATACATGGTTACACTTATACATCATACATGCACACAATAATAATAAATAAAGTTTTAAAAACAAAAGCTATAGGGGCTGGAGAGATGGCTCAGTGGTTAAGAGCACAGGCTGCTCTTCCAGAGGTCCTGAGTTCAATTCCCAGCAACCACATGGTGGCTCACAACCATCTGTAATGGGATCTGGCACCCTCCTCTGGTGCGCGGGCATATATGGAGGCAGAATGTTGTATACATAATAAATAAAAATTAAAAAAAAAATACAGCTCTGCTAAAATAGCAGTATTTAAAAAAAAAAAAGCTATACAATTAAAATGGCAACTCACTTATGAAAGTAAACACTTCCGAATAGCATCAGGAAGGGGCGAGGCCCATGCATTTCCACCCCTAGCTGAGGGGATGTTCGTGTCAATGGCTGCTCAGGGAGGGAGTCAGCTCTCCTAAGGATGTGGTCCTAGAAGGTTAACCACACTCTGGTGAACAGCTCCACATCTCTTAGTATGTGGGTTAGCACAAACTGGCCTTGGTAGGGTTTTATATTTTTTAAGTTGGGAGCGTATAAAGAATGAGATGTGGATCCTGAAGGAATTAAGGAGAGGGATAGAGAGTGAATATCATCAAAATATATTGTATGCAAATATTAAATTATCAAAGAATTAGTGAAAGAAAAAATAACACTAGACTTCTCAGCAGAAACCCTCAGCCAGGAAAGCATGCAGTGGGATATTTCAAGACCTAAAAGTAAACAACCACCCACGAAGATTGCTGTTTCTAGTAAAGTTATGTTTTAAACTGACGGAGAAATAAGAACATTTCAAGACAGGCCCAAACAGAAATGAGTCATGATCATGAAGCCAACATGGCAGAAGATACGTCAGGGAACCTTAAACACAAAGAAGGAATAAAGACAGCCTTGATTATGAAACACAAGAAAGGACAAATTCTGTGAGAGGAACAGATGAACACAGAGCTATGGAAGAACCCATCATGCCCAACACAGCAACAGGCAAAGCCCTGATATGGATAGGAGAGATGGAAAAATGAGCCTACGATCCAACCAATCAGAACACAGTCGACAAAATTCAAGCAATGTGCTAACCCCTGTCTGTAATAAACCTAAATGTAAATGACTTTAACTCTCCAGTTAAGAGATATGCAAATGAGATTAGAGGTTTAAAAACAATAACAATTATAACAACTTATAATATATATATAACAATTATAGCAGTAACAGATAACAATTCTGTTATCTCTAAGAAATACATCTCCCTGGCAGATGAAAGAGTTGCAAGGATAGAAGTCAGTTTACCTAGTAAATGGAAGGCAAAAATGATGGTGGAGCCGTTCTATTGCCTGACAGAGTGCCAGCAAACCTAATTAGTCTAAGAAGATAAAGAAGGCCACTACCTAGCAACAAGAACTATCAACACTAGGGCTCCAAGTTTCACAAAAGCAAACACCAGGTGGCATAAAAGTGCCAATAGATCTTAATAATGGTGGGTGACCTTAATTCTTCATTCCCACCAATAGGATAGTCATTCAGCCTAAAAGTCGATGAAGAAAATTCAGAATGAATCTGTGCCACACATCAAATGGGCTTAGTGGACATTTATAGAACATCACATCTAATAGAGCATTCCTTTCAACAGACCGTGGAACTGTCTCCAAGATGGAGCACATCCTAGCTGCAAAGCCACACTTAGTAAGTCTAAAAGCATTGAAATGATTCCCAGAATAATCCAATCTTTTCTTTAATATTTTATTTAGATGTATTTTATGTGCATTGGTGTGAAGGTGTCAGATCCCCTGGAACTGGAGTTAGAGACAGTTGTTAGATGCCATGGGGTACTGGGAATTGAGCCTTGGTCCTCTGGAAGAACAAAGGGTGCTCTTAACCACTAAGCTAACTCTCCAGCCCAAATAATCCAATCCTTTTTTTTTAATATATTTATTTATTTATTATGTATACAATATTCTGTCTGTTTTGCCTGAAGGCCAGAAGAGGGCACCAGACTTCATTAAAGATGGTTGTGAGCCACCATGTGGTTGCTGGGAATTGAACTCAGGACCTCTGGAAGAGCAGTCAATGCTCTTAACTGCTGAGCCATCTCTCCAGCCCCTCCAATCTTAGTAAGTAAAAAAGAAATTAAAAAACCAGGCAGTGGTGGCACATGCTATTAATCCCATCACTCAGGAGGCAGAGGCAGGCAGATCTCTGTGAGTTCAAGGCCAGCCTGGTCTACAGAGCAAGTTCCAGGACAAACTCCAAACCTACAGAGAAACCCTGTCTCAAAAACAAACAAACAAACAAAAAACCCTAAAATTTCCAAAATGAAAAAAGTCAGTAGCAAAAGAAGTCAGAGAAACTATACACTTGGAGATTTAATATGCTCCTTCTTCTCCAGCCCCCTTCTTGTGTGTGTGTTTTTTTTTTTTTTTTTAGCTTTTTGTCTTTTGAGACAGGATTTCTCTGTGTAGCCATGGTTGTCCTGAAATTCACTCTGTAGACCAGGATGGACTTGCACTCACAGAGATCTGCCTGCCTCTGTCTCTAACCCTAACCCTGAATACTGATATTAAAGATGTGTGCCACCCCCATCCAGCACTCCACCCCATCTTTTGACACAGGATCTCACTGTGTAACCCTCAATGGCCTAAAAATTCAGAGATCTGCTTGCTTCTGCTTCCTGAGTGCTGGGGTAAAGGTGTACACAACACACACACACACACACTAAGTCACTGAAGAAATCAAGGAGATGAATTTTTATATAATCAAATGAAAATGAAAGCATAGCTTACCAGAACCTTTGAGATGTAGTAGACAAAGTGTTTTAAGCTAATGAGTGTTTGTATAAAAAAAAAAAAAAAAAAAAAAAAAAAAAAAAAAAAAAAAAAAAAAAAAAAACAGGGGCTGGAAGGGTAACTCAGGGGTCAGTGTGCTTCCTGCTTTTATAGAGAACCCAAGCTCAGTTCCCAGTTCCAATATCAGGCAGCTCACATCTGCCCATAACTCCAGATTCAGGGAGTATGATGCCCTCTTCTGGCCTTCATGGGCACCTGCCACACATAGCATATACTCATGCAGATACACACAAAGATGTAAATAAAATAAGTCATCTTGTACACTTGTTGGTAGCTCACTGGAACTAACAGGTAGGACCTTATTCCTAAAGATGCCTACACCTTGGTCACAGGCCATAGACAAATCGAGTTAGAATTGGGCTAGAAGCTTCCTTTTTTTCTGAATAGCCCTCATCACAGTGCCAAGAGGTACCTTGAAGAACGCTGGTAGAAAACTGTCATCAAACGTCTTACTTAGCTGTGGTCATCCTATATGCAACAAAACCCTCACCAGGTAAGATGTAGCTACTGATGTGGTAGTGGCAAGCCTGTGATAGGGTAACCAACAGCTTTCTGGCTGGATTTGATGCCCACTTTACAGGAGGGAATTCACATCTGGTACTGTAAACCTAGTCAAAAGCCCTTGGCAGGGGAGATGCTCTATATGGGTAGACAATGTTTCTACCAGAAGACATGGTTATTAAATGAAGTTTTCAGTGCTAGGGTGGGATTTTCCCTACCAGTCACTGGTCAGTATATTGGTGGTGGTTGTGGTAAAATATCACGATGAAAGGCAACTTAAGGAAGAGTTTATTTTGGCTTCCAGTTCTGGAGGCTTGCTGTCCATGATGGCAGGGAGGGTGTGGTGGCGGCAGCAGAAAGCTGAGAGATCATATCTCACCATACACCGGAAGCAGGCAGAGCACATTGAAAACAGGACAAGGCTATAAACTCTCAAAGTTCCAGCCTCAGTGACACACTCCCTCCAACAAGGCTCCTCTCCTAAAAGTTACACACACACACACACACACACACACACACACACACACACCAAAATAGCACTAACGACAGAGGACCAAGTGTTTAAGTACATGAGCCTATGGGGACATTCTTCATTGAAACTACCAGTCAGGTAAGCTCCAGTGGACCTGAAAACAACACAGGTTATTGTGGTTGCTTTGGATTCTCACCAGAACTAGATTGCAAGATCATATTTCTGAAGCTGCAATACCTTTTGGTTGCAGGACACAGAAACATTAACCTGAAATTGACCTGTCCTAAAAACTTCCTGCTAGGTAACTTCGATAGTGCCACAAGTGCTATGCAGGCCACTGGGAAAGAAAACATATCAGTGTTATTACCCGCAATGAACTCTGAGTGCTACCATACTCAACTGCCAGGCAAGATGTGCCCCCTGGTACAACAATGGCATGAAAGCCATCAGGGTAGCCAACTGCTTTTGGATTGCACTTGAGTCCTGTGCAATCCTGCACAGGTGGGAATTCTGTGCCTGGTATTGCAAGTCTGGTCAAAAGCTCATAGCTTAGGATGCCATAGACCTAAGGAGGAACCTACTATTATCATCTTGTTAAATGAACATATCAAATTGCCTTCTAAATATGCCTATATACATAGACCAGTGCTGGTGTCAACCTCGGCCACAGAATCTTCTCTCGGCAGTGGTCAGTAGTTGGCGCAGACTCATTAATGGTCAAAGTCCTAAGACTAAGTTACTGTTGAGTGCTTAACCCTAAATGGGACATCTGTATCACACACACACACACACACACACACACACACACATGTGCACATGTGTGCAATTTGGGACCGTCTTGGTAAAGGCAGTAGAAATAATGCAATAGCGAGAACATGAGGAAGTGAACCATGAAATTCTGTGTTCTGGACATGTCATGGCCATCGAACTCTTGAACTCACTGTAGTGTGGTCACCTGCACAAGACTTACACAAGACAAGCCAGCAAGATCAGTCAACATCCCAAGAGGCACACAAAGTGAAATCCATGGGGGGGGTGGGAGGCGGAAAACCCTACAAGTGGTCATGAAAGGGAGAGAGGGGCTATATTGGAGATTCCCCAGGAGAAGTGCTAGCAGGGGGTAGAGTGGACATGGACAAGAGATACTATTTACACATATGCAGTTGTCACAGAGCAAAGAAAAGATACCTTATTAAAATAATTAAGAAGGGGGGAGGAAGGAAAGGAGAGGGACAGAACTTACATCAAAAGGTGATCGTGGCCATGGTAGAACAACTCTAGACTTTTTAAAGCTTTCTTCTAATAATATAATCATATAATCAGCCAGACAGTGGTGGTGCATGCTTTTAATCCCCATGCTCAGGAGGCAGAGGCAGGAAGATATCTAAGTTTGAGGCCAGCCTGGTCTACAGAGTGAGTTCCAGGACAGCCAGGGGTACACATTGAAACCCTGTCTCAAAAAAAGCTAAAAACAACAACAAAATAATCATCATCATCAACAGGAGTTGGTTACGTTCCCCTCACAGTGCCACTATTTCTGCAAACGAAAGGCAAGCTTGCGTCAGAGCGGGAAGAAATGTACAGAATGTGGGTTTTGACTCAGCTGTTACCTGAACTTCAGATGGCTTTCTAGGCACCCTGCTTCTGCCGTTCTGAGTCTACAAGAGAGGCTCCCTCCAGCCACAGGGGAACCTTCCTCTCCTCTCACCTGTTCCCATGGTTACATATTATTGGAAATGTGGCAGGAAAATGGATCTCCTCTTTATGGCTAATGGGTCAAAGATACAACTTTCTTTATTTTGCCTGAATTGTCTCATTTACACATCAAACCAGCCCTGTATGGAAGGAGGCATCGATCTTGGCAATGACTTGTCCCAAAGTTAGCTGTCACTCACTTCCAGCCCTGTGCCTACCTAAGCTCCAACTAGGTCAAACCTAGATTAAGGCTCACCATATTTAAAACTATAACTATTTTATAAATGTACCTTGGGACTAGAGAGATGGCTCAGTGGTTAAGAGCACTGGCTGCTTTTCCAGAGGCCCCAGGTTCAATTCCCAGCACCCACGACAGCTCATTGCTGCCTGTGACTCCAGTACCAGGGGATGCAACATCTTCACACAGGCATACGTCCCGGTGAAACACAAATGCACATGAAATAAAAATAAACACATTTTTAAAAATTGTACTTCATACAAAAGATAAGAGACGTCTTCAAACAAATGTGCTGGAGAAAGGTCACACTATATATCCTAGCGTGCCTGGAACTCACTATGTAGACCAGACTGGCCTTGAACCCAGAGATTTCTATACCTCAGTCTGAAGAATGCTGGAATTAAAGGTCTGTGTCACTATACCCAGGAATTGTATTTTTAAAAATATCTAAAACAATATTTATAATCCTTTAAGCACAACAGGGTTGTGCTAGACATCAATAGGAACTAAAACTGGAAAATTCACAAATAAATGGAAATTTAAAAAAGAACTTCTTAGCTAGGTGGTGGTAGTGCACACCTTTAAATCCCAGCACTTGGGAGGCAGAGACAGAGAGATCTCTGAGTTTGAGGCCAGCTTGCTCTACAGAGTGAGTTCCAGGCTAGCCAGGATACACAGAGAAACTCTGTCTCAAAAAACAAAAACAAATTAAATAAACAAACAAAAAAACTTCTTTAAGAAACCAATAGATTCAAGAGGATTCAGAAGAAAAATTAGAAAATACTAGAGATGGAAGAAGACTATAACATAGCAAAAAATTATAAGATAGCAAGGGACTTACTCCTATAAATATAGCCACCAACACTTAAAAAAAAATTTCCCCCTCCATCTCTAAAGATGCACTGGGATCAAAAGATAGTAAATAAAATAAAAGGCAAATTGATTACATGTATGGAGGCAGTTACCTGATGCAATTCCCTACACCCCAATGTGGTTCTGAAGCTTGTTATACACCCCACTTCTATAGGGGAGGACAAGAATGGAGACACAGACAACCTTATAAATGACTTTAGGGGAATTCAAAGGCCTGGAACAAAGTCTGTTTGGCTAACAAAACGAGGATCATTTATAAGTGATTGTCTTTGGGATGGGACCAAGCAGAAGACAAATGTGTGTGACAAGGGTCTGTGGAGGTATTGAGTCTGTCCTTTTGCAACTGGTATAGTTAATGGAAAACCAGAGAAAGGATTTTGGGTAACTGTTTTCTCCCTTGGGGCTCTAGCACCCAATCAGACAGGAGACAATGGGGGGAAAGCCCTCCTGACACCCACTGCACCCAGAGCCCCTTCAGTTTACAAGAGCGAGCACACTGGGGTGCCACATTTTGAGGCAACCATCCCTGGATTCCCTCACAACATTAAAAACAAGAATAGTCTCAACTCAAGAGCCCAGCTTTATAACCTAAGGCACTAGAAAGGAAACACTAAATACAGCCCAAAGCAGAAGGAAGGAAGTGATGGAGATTGGTGCAGAGGGGAATTAGATGGGGAGAAGAAAGAAGAGGAGAGAGAGGGGGTGAGGAAGGGAGAAGGAAAAGAGGAAGAGGAGAGACAGGAAGGGAGGGGAGAGAGGGGACAAGAGTGGGAGGGAAGAGGAAAGAGGGATGG